ATGGCATCTGGGTATTTTCCGAGACCGATTTAGATCCCAAAAGGCATACTATAGGAATATGGGATAGCTTACAAGCGTAATGTCCTTGTAGATCTGATGACTGCGGTGCCTGCCGGGGTATTCATCGATCGCGAAAGGTTGGGCGTCTACCACGCTTGATGGGATCGGGGGGGATAGAGCTAGATACCCCGCACTGATGCAATGAGTCAGGGGTAAAGCTGACTAGGTTGCGATCTCGTCATGCATGATTTCGCCAAGTGGAGGACCGGGCGGAATAAGATGAGTACCCCTATCACGCCCTTGTAGGAAGTCAATTAGCGTGGAACGGCCCGGCAGGAATATGCAACTCACGTAGTGCTGATCTCAAAATATTTGGCTCGTGTTGACAAAGAGACGTTCTCAAAGTATACTAGCTACGGCACCGACGCGCATGTTGGCAGCGGAGTAAGGCTGTGTCCAGGTGTACATGCATTTGGCCTCTTTGCCCTGGCAGGCCGCGACATGTCCAGAGTTTTGCTGATACCTGGGCGTCGGGAGGGGTGACCGACGAATGCGAATGCGGCTGCTATCAGTTTGTCCGGAGTTTTCCAATGTCCAGCCTACCCAGAGCTTAGAAGCGTAAGGTGTATAGGGCTACGAAGCAGATCCGACCATCCCAGTTGTCACGGCAGAGGCATGCGGTGGCACGAGTCCAAAAACCTCGCGACTATTCGGTTCGCAACGCTCGCGAGATATCAAGACATTATATGGACTCACGATAGGATTACATGGAGTTTAGAAGACGATGTGTCGGATACATGAAGTCGTGAATGACGCGAAAGCATTACTCGTAAGAAACGGTGCCATCAATCAGAAAGAGCACACCATTCAAGCCCTAGAAAAGACAAGTTTGAGAGGTTTAGTGAAGAAGTCGCGCAGCGATATCGTACCTCTTTCATGCCAATAATCCGAACCCCATCTTCCAATGTGACCCGACTCCATTCTGGACCCTTCCCGTTGTTCTTGCTAACTGGTCTGAACGAAATAGTCTTCCCATCAAGGAGAGTAGGGTACTCCTGCGAGTCGAGTGTAATCGGTGATTTCTAGGAGTTCGATGCTGGGGGTAAGTCCGGGGTAGGAATTCCGCTGGGCTGGGTACGTACGGGGATGATGTGAGCAGACACCCATCGTTCGACGTTCCTCTTCGATATGCTCTCGAACTCCTCTTCCGTAATCTCAACATCATCGCCTGAAGGTGCAGTCTGAGTAGGTCCTTGGTGACTGGTGCCAAAACATGACGTCAAATCACTGTCGCAACGAGAAGTGGCTCGACTCACGGCTTGTGGGCTAACGCCATGACCGCCTTATTCGTGGGCACAAATACCGTCGAATTGACGCGAGGGTCCGCAAAAATTGAACTAAGCTGTATCTCCCGAGCATAAGAATAGAATATCGAGGCTGTGGGCTCTATGGTCAGGAGATCCGCCAGTGTTGGCTTGGTGTGTGTCGTCGGTGAGTAGTTGGAGGGATTGTTAGACATGGGAATTTGCTGCTCTTGAGACGCAAGGGAGAGTAGAGGGGCAGCGAGGAGAGCAAGTAGCTGGAGACGCATGTTTGATTCAGTGGAAAGCCGCAAGCCTCGATCAGCCTTGTTGTGGAGGTCGAACACGTGCTAAAGTTTAAGTAAATACCCATCAACCTCTTGATCCCCGACCTTCATCTCCTACGCTCACAGCTTGCCCAAACGCCCAGAAACCGTACTAAATTTCCACAGAATCTCACTCGACAAGCAACCATGCTCCTCACACCTTGGAGGAATTATTCTCGAGTAGCAACCAGTTGTTCCCTGCACCCGAAGGCGGCATGATGAGCATCAACGAATTGAAGGTAAGCCCAAGTCCAGCTACCTCACCGTTCCTCCGATCTAACATCCCTCTCTCCTGGATTGCTAGGATAAAGCAACATCGTACCAGCCTGAAATTCGATGAGTCCGACGATCTAGCTGATCTCGACGCTGCCTTGCGGTACAACAAAGCGGCGGTTGAAGCGGCCCACTCAAGCGGTCATCCTTCTCTGGCTTCTTTTCTAGAGACCCTCTCTTACTTTCACGAGAATCGGTTTACCAAGGTAGGTGACCCGTCCGATCTGAAACAGGCCGTCCAGCGTATGAAAGCTGCGATCGATGCCACACCTGCAGAGGACACTGAGCTTCCTCTTCGTTACTCAGGTCTTGCGAGATATCACGCACGGCTCTTTCGAGAGCTGGATGATCTAGCTGCTCTAGAGTTAGCTTTTAAGTACCAGCACCTCGCAATTGCGGGTACACCAGAGGGCGACCCTGCTCTCCTGGAACGGATGACAGACCTGTCCGTATCTTATTCCGATAGGTTTGATCGACTGGGCGACAGGAAAGATCTTGAAGAGTCTCTGAAGTGTGATATAGCTGTTGTCGCTGCTGGGGCCAGCGATGATCGATGACCGGTGACCCCGAGCTGCCACGATAGGAGCAAAGTCTGGCTGCGTCATATGCTTCCTATTTCGATACCTTTGACGAAATTACGTCGCTCGAGTCTGGAATAGGTTCGCTGTGCAGAGCACACCCTCGGACATTCTGACTTGCCTTTCAGGCATGAATATTGAATGTCCGGCTGTGCTTGTGACCCGCTACTTTGACAAAACTGGCAAGTCAGAGGACATCCAGTCAGCCATAAGATACGGCAGACTCCTCGCTCTTGACGCCACCCCAGTCCAGACTAGTCCTGAACGTGCTCAGCGCCAAACCATTTTGGCGCTTGCATATTCTGGGTCCAATGTATTCACCGTACATCTACTTACTAGTACATACAAACGCAGCACTCAAAGACGCCCATGAATATCCAGCGCAGGTCTCCCATAATTAACCTCCCCCTCCGGCTTATTCCCCAAAATCCCCTCAATCTTCTGCATAATCTCCTCCGTCAACCTCCCCAACACCTCCACCGCCTCCAAATTCTCCCTCAACTGCTCCTTACTCGACGCACCAAGAATCACCGTCGACGTGTTGGGGTTCTTCGCCACCCACGCGAGGGCGAGCGCGGTGGGGGTGGTTTGGAGTTCGTCCTTGGCGAGTTGGGTTAGGGCGCGGACTTTGGCGATTTTGGATTGGCCGGAGGGGAGGAGGAGGGAGTCGACGGTGGATTTGAACATGGCGGTGGTGGCGAAGCGGGAGCCTTCGGGGATGCCGTCGTTATACTATGTGGGGAGCGTGGTTAGGTGCGGAAGGGCGGAGGTGGGAGTTACGGACCTTTCCGGTGAGGAGGCCGCTGGCGAGGGAAGACCAGGTGGTGGTTCCGAGCCCGTATTTGCGGTAGAGGGGGCTGTGGGTAGCGCTAAGTACTGAGTGTGGATAAAAAAAGCTCGGGTATAGCTTACTCGTATTCCTTCTCAGGGCGCTCACGGTGGAACATGCTACAACCCCCCGTCAGCACTTTTCCTAAAACCAAAGAAAGGGGAAAAAAACGCACTTGTGTTGACACTGCTCCGCAATCGGACCCATCAAGCCCAGCTTATCAGCCACATCTACACACCAAAACCCATCCTCAGCCACGACACTCAGCCGCACAACGAATTTGGATGTGAACACGTACGGAAAGCCTCCTCGATCTCCCGCGCGCTCCACTCTGAGGTCGCCCAGTAGAACGCCCAACCTTTCTCGATGATATAGTTGAACGCCCGCACGATCTCCTCCATCGGGACTATATGCACCCCCCCCCAAAGAAAAGAGTCAGCTCTGCCTTCCTACCCATGCCGGATGTTTAATGCAGGACGTACCGGTGTGGTCAGGCCGGTGCGCGAACATGACGTCAACGTAGTCGAGCCCGAGCCGCGCGAGACTTTCTTGCGTGCCTTCGATGATGCTTTCAAAAAGTAGTCCAAATCACCACACGATCCGGGGGCGGAAGCTTAGAGGATATATATATACGCACTGCTTCCTCGACAACCCCCCGTCGTTCGGGCCCTTCCTCAACCCCCAGAAAAGCTTCGTCGTCACCACCAGATCCGTCCTGCGCAGCCCCAGCTCTTTCAGCACGCGGCCCCTACACCACATCAGCCTCTTCTCTTCTTTCAAGGGGGAAAGACACGAGGAGGGGGGTAGACGTACATCTCGAGCTCAGACTTCCCGCCAGCATACGCCTCAGCCGTATCAAACATGTTGATCCCAGCGTCGAACGCAGTCTTGATGATCTCTTTGACGGGATCGCCCGTGACCGAGCCGCCCAGGGTCAGCCCTTCCCCCGCAAAAGAAATGAGTTACACCGAAGACACGGGAGGGGAGTGGGGGAGGGGGGAGGAGACGCACATCCACCGAGGGAGAAGACGGGCACGCGCAGACCGCTGGGCCCGAGCCGGCGGAAGGGCATGTTCTTCGGGTCGAATTCGTGTAGTACGACTTGTTCTTCAGAGGGCGCCATCTTGGTATAGATCTTTCAAGGGTTCTTGTGGTAGTAGGAGATCTAGAGGGGGAATGGGAAATAGAACGCCCCTGCCCTCGCGTGTACTTATACCCCGCCCGCGCCGTGCCTGTACGCGCATGATGGGATGACAGAGACGGATTCAAGGATGACGCGTATACCCAGGACCATGTGGCTTATTCATGCATGCGGGCGAGTTGTGTTATCTGATCTTGATAAATATAGCGCTGCTACTTTGATAAGGACCAGAGATTTCGTGGGTGGAGTACGTCCATTCATTGGAGCGTTGGTGGGGGTATGAGAAGGATGCATATGCACGACGACAGGGAGGGTGGAGACGCGTGGATGGCATTGAGAGGGCTGGGAACCTTTTCGGGGAATGGGCCGGTCAGCGAGAGTAGATTCCTAATCCAACGCGAACATACTCGAGCACGGCCTAAGTACCCCTGTTCGAAATCACAAATCAACTCAACTCCACCATCACCGTTGCTGAGCAAGACCTGGGGACCGGGTTCATCCAGCGCTGCCGTGAAGGTGAGCTCAGTGTCAGTTGGTGGGAAGCAAATGAAGTCGGGTATGGTGTAACGGCTAACATTGCCGCCTCTCATGCGGTTCTGCTCGGAGTGTCGCGGCAGCTCGGGGTTCGATTCCCCGTACCCGAAACTTTTATCACTTGGCCCAGGGATTCCAAAGAATGGAAATGCCTGATACCTCTATACTTTTTTCTTCAGAAAGAAACCTTGCAATCTGCACCAAGCCAGAAATTCGCCTCAATATTTTCGTTGGCAGGACCTTGAGCCTTTCAAACCTCTCAACATGGGACAGCGCAAGGCTGTGTCGATATAAAGGCAAAGTTGGATGGTCCAGGGGTACCCCCTCCAATGCAGCTTGGTTATATTTAAGAGCAAATTTCAAATCCTTGATATCCCCATTTCTGCGGTACTGAGCAGTATGAGAAACGGCGAGGTTGAACTGATAAACTGGAAGCTTTGGATGGTCCGGCCGTATCGCCTCGACTACATCCTGCTCCAGTTTAATGGTTTCCTCAAGGTCTTTGAGGTTGCCATATCTGTGAATCAACGTGAATGAGACGCGACTGGTCATGTGACTGGTGGAATGACCTGCCCTGACGAAAAATGCTGGACACGTACGGACGACCATCACTCACGATCTCCTTGTAAATACCAATCTCTGAAGCCGGATTCATAGGACGCGATGGTTTGTGCAAAAGTATAGAAAGGAGCGTTAACTGATTATGATTCCAGGTCGTTTTAGCAGCTTCAATATGTACAAAAGGCGGAAAACGTGAGTTCCCTAGCATCTCCTCATTACACCTCTTCATGCCCAGCACCCAGCCGTCATCTCTCGGCAATTCCGTGACATGACCCGCACCCGGATCGAATCCCTCCTCGCCTCCTTCCCCAAGCTCATCCCCACCAACACGCAACACACCTCCGTCGAAACCTCTGACGTCCGCTACGTCTACCAGCCCCTCGAAGACCTCTACATCCTCCTCATCACCAACAAAGCCTCCAACATCCTCCAAGACATCGACACCCTCCACCTCTTCGCCCGCGTCGTCTCCGACATGTGCCGCACCGCCGACGAGCGCGAGATTCTGAAGAATGCGTTTGAGCTGCTGGGCGCGTTCGATGAGGTGGTGAGTATGGGGTATCGGGAGAATGTGAACCTGATGCAGGTGAGGAGTGTGTTGGAGATGGAGAGTCATGAGGAGAAGATCCAGGAGATCATCGCTAGGGTGCGTACCCCCCCCCCCCCCTCTCTCACGCCCTTCCCTGACGCTGACCCACCCCTCTGCGTGTAGAACAAAGAAGCAGAAGCAAAGGAAGAGCTCAAACGCCGCGCCAAGCAGCTCGAAATGCAGCGCCGCGAACAACAACGGCGCACCGCCGGCTCCGGCGGGAGCTCCTACCTCGGCGTCGGCGGGGGCGGGGGCGTCTCAGGAGGGTACTCCCCCGTCCCCCAACGCTTCGACGCCCCCGACGCCCCGTCCCCCATCACGCGCGCCACGCCGTCCCCCGCCGCTAGGGCCCCGGCGTTCAAGGGCTCGGGCATGAAGCTCGGGACGAAGAAGACGAAGCAGGCGGAATTGCTGGATGCGCTTGGGGGGGACGTGTTAGCTGCGTCGTCGATGGAGGTGGGGGAGGCGCCGGGTGTCGAGGTGCAACCTTCGCCGGCTGCGCATGTGCAGAAGGGTAGTGAGGGGAGAGGGAGTGTGCCTGAAGTCGAAGCGGAGAGGTACGTCTTTTATTCTCGATGTGGACTTGATACTGACCACCCCCCACTCCTGCAGCGTGCACATAGCAATCAAAGAACAAATCTCCGCCTCCCTCCTACGGGACGGCGGCCTCCAGTCCCTCGAGATCAAAGGCGAGATGAACCTCCTCATCACCGACCCCGCCCACGCGCACCTGCGCCTCACGCTCTTGCCGCCCCTCATCGCGGATCTGCAGTTCAAGCAGCACCCGAACGTCGCGAAGTTCGGCGCGGGGGGTGGGGGGGAGAGGGTGGTGAGGCTGAAGGAGGCGGGGAGGGCGTGGCCGGTGGGGCAGAGCCTTGGGGTGTTGAAGTGGAGGTATGTGGGGGTGGATGAGAGTGTTGTGCCTTTGTCGAGTGAGTGATGAGCTTTTTCTGGTTTTTGGTTGTTGGGAAGGGTGATGCTGATCTTTGGGTGGGGGGTAGTCAACTGCTGGCCTTCGACGTCGAATGACGGGACGTGTGAGGTGAGTATCGAGTATGAGCTCGAGAATGAGAATGTGGAGCTATACGATGTGGTCATATCCATTCCACTCCCGTAAGTCGCCCCTCCGTCTTCTTTGGTTCTGCGCCGCTCCCTGCTTTCTGCTCCTACTTCCCTTGGCTCCCTTCTTCCTCCCTGCTCCCCTTCCTCCCCTTGCGCTCCATCTACTTCTCATCCCCCTCCCTTCCCCTCCCCTCTTTCTTTGTCTCTCCTCCTCCTTCTCCTCGCATATCTCACTCATCCCCTCCTCACACACCTAACTAACCCCCTCCCCACCCCGCAGAGCCGGCTCCTACCCAACCGTCTCCGCCCACACAGGCGACTGGACCCTCGACCCCTCCTCGCACTCCCTCGCCTGGTCCATCCCCCACATCTCCTCTTCCCCCTCCTCCCCGGGTGAAGAGGAGGAAGACACACGCGTGGGCTCGCTGATGTTCACGGTGGGCGGGGACGATGCGGGCGCGTTCTTCCCTGTGCGGGTGGCGTTTGTGGGGAGGGGGAGTGTGGCGGGGGTGGGGGTGGAGGAGGCTCAGGGGGAGGTGAGGGTTTCGGTGGATAGGGTGGTGGGGAGTGAGGAGTATTTGGTGGTTTGAGGAGGGTGGGGGAGTTTTGGTGGGCGTGGTGGAGGAGAATAGAGATAGATGTGTTGTTGATGGATGTGAGAGGTGTTTTTGTGGGAGTAAGGACTGTTTGCTATGCTTTGAGAGACTTTGAGAGAGGGGAGAGCTGGGGACTTCCAGCTTCTCGCCTGGCATTGGATCAAGCGGATAGCTTTCTGACGTAGTCGAGCGTTTCTCCCTCGATGGCCACGTTCATTGGGGGTAGATACTGATAGCTCGCATTCGACTCAGAACTATTCACATTTCAAACGAACTATAGCTATCGACGTGTAGTTCGGACGACTGCATATGAAGAGACCCCTCATGACTCATGCAATGCAATAATGACCTTCTCCGACGACCCCCGCTCGTTCCCCAAGTCGGTGTCGTGTACCAAGCCCATGCGGCTCGTGTCGTATCCATGCGCTTCGAGGTAGGCCCGGAACTACCCCCCCAAAGCCAAGTTTAGCTCAGTCGCTGTGTACTAAGATAAGACGACTTACCTCCCTGTCCTCAAGCGCCATGCCGTCGGTGGTCAAGGGCTCGATGAAGAAGAAGGTTACGAGGGCGCTGAGGAGGGCCAGGGCTAGATTACAATGAGATTCGGGCTTGCCTTGCAGGGAGTAGACGAGACTCACCGCTGCCGATCCAGAAGGGGCCTGTGTTTCCCCGCAGCGAGTCGGGGCCTCCGAAAGCTGCGGAGAGAAAGGAAGTCAGATGACACGGAAGACTCAGACCAGGCCACACCGGGACTGACCGTCTATTATGGGGGGGAATACTTGTCATGGGAGTGGGTACTCATTCCAACAGTGAGGGACTGAGGAACTCAGCCAAGTCCCGATGAAGGCGCCTAATTTCCCGGTGGCGGCTGCGACACCGAAGAACTGGCCTCGGACGGCGGTGGGGCAGCTTTTGCTCGCGAGGATGAAGGTGCAGTTGCCGGGGCCGAATTCGCCGAAGCTTAGGAATATGCCGTAGACGACCTGTGTGGGGGTCAGTGGCGGCGTGGAATGGAGTGGGATGGATGCGCACGGCGAAGGCGGCGATGTGGTTTGTGAGTCTTTATGAGGTGTGGATCAGCGTTGACTATTGGATGAGATGTTGGGATGACTTTAGGTAGAACCCGCTCATGAAGAATCCGATGATGGCTTGTAAGAGGAGGCCGACCATCTTTGGGGGGTTAGACGAGCCAGCATGAACGGGACGACGGACCAAGGTGTGCTTCGGTCCTAGGTAGTCAATGACAAAGGCTCCCAGAATTGTTCCTGGAGGCGCATGGAGCGGGGGATGAGGAGAGCCGGGCGGACCTAGAGGATGAAGGCCTGCATACCTGGCATGTAGAACAAGCTGAGAGGTGGGGATAAGACGGTGTTCATGGAGTACCAGGGGTTTCCGAGACGTACTTTATGATGACGTTCCAACCGAACACGATATTGAGGTCCGTGGATCCACCTGTAATGCTGGGGAACGACCATGCATGGGTTTTGCTCTAGTGGATATGTTTCCAACTTACTTGTTGACAATAGTCGACGAGTATATGCCAAACTTCCAAGGGGGTCAGTACGATCCCGAGTAAAGCTGGACTCGGACGCCTCACCGGGTACACAATCATATCATATAGGAACCCATACACGACGCATCCCGTCAGAAAATTCAAAACGCGTATCGTACCAAAGGACTCACCATATAAATGAAATGGCAGCTAACGAACGTCCATAGCGCCTGAACACGAGGATGTACGGTATCCGCGCGTGTTTCATGGAGTCCTTCTTGTACCGCACCGGCTCATCCATGCTTAACCGCCAAAGAAACACTCCAAGTGCGGGGGCGATGCCCAAGCCGAGGGAGAGACGCCACACGGCGCGCAGGTGGTCAGGACCAAGACTGCAGCGAGCCTGAGACGATGTGTGGAAACGATGGACATGGGGGGTGCGTACATCCAGAAAAGGACCAGAGGAACGAATGCAGCGATGACAAAACCGAAATCGATCATCGTATCTGCCAAGACGAAAAGATAAACAGCGGTCCTCCCGGGTCATATATGTGGATCCGACAGCGTACTGGTAGAAAGGGCGAGCCAACGATGCCATGCTTTCTTGCTTATTCCCTGTTCTTCGGACTGCTCAGAGGCAGAAACGGAGCCGCATGGATATTCTGCGCCTAATCCAATGCCTAGGAAGAAGCTGAGCGTAGTGGGGTCTTGAGCCCTGTCCATAGGCAAGACTTCGACTGGCGGCTTACCGCATTGCACTGAGCATGCTCAGAAGCCCACCTATACTGCCATGTGCACCGGAGGAGGATG